TTCGCAGAATTGCATTGCGTCAAAATATACTGGGAGAATACTTTTGATCTTCTGAAATAACCTACCACTAATCTGGGGAAAATAGTGATACATAGTGATTTATGTAAAGTGCAGAGGTGTAGCCAGGATCCAAAAATAGTGAGAGAAATTGAGAAAACAAGTTTTACGTATTCAGAGTTTCATTTCAAATACAATATCTAGTGCAGTGAATATAAAATACATGTTTAACTTGTGCCTGTTTTTCATTTGTATTGTATCCATTGAAGAGAGAAAAGTGAAAGTTAAATTTGTGAAATCTGGAAAGTGGCAGTAAAATTGAAATTTCCCAAAATTTGCAAATTTGAATACTGTTTTTCTAAATAATGGTACAGGTCTTCCCCCGAAATCGAATAGGAATTAGTGATACATAGCGATTGATGTAAAGTGCAGGGGTGTAGCCAGGATCCAAAAATAAGTGAGGCAAAATGAGAAAAAGCACTATTCATGGGCATTTCACATATCCCCAGTTTCATTTTAGATACGAGTCAAAATAAGTCAATGTCTAGTGAATTTGTGCCTGTGATGATGCTTCTACTCCATGTACTATGCTTTATTTCACGTGGTGTTTCATCAGTATAGCGTTCATTTTCAGCTATGCTTTAACCATTGCTGAGATGCATACTGTGTTGCATTTGGGGCTGAAGATCCAGCTGCTGTGTACAGAGTGCTGAGGGGCTGCTTTTAACATCTCTGCTGAGCGCAAGGTGAATATGCCTGCTAGTTAAAATATGAACATTAAATATACTTCGGTCAGTTTGTCAATTCTAAAGAAATTCTATGAAAGGAGTACAAAAATGGACACAAAATGATAGAATGCTTCAAACAAGATTGTGCTATCAGCATTCCATTTTAGTCTTTATTCTTATCTTCTTTATTCTAAAAAGTCTATTATAGTTTTTGTAGCAAAAAATGCAGTTTCCTAAATAAATTTGATTAAATTTTGTTGTATACTTTAATATTATCCATTAGACTATGTATCAGATAATTTTTTGAGAATAATTAAGCCTGTCAGTGATAAAATTCATTTATCAGAACATTTCCTGAAAACCTATTAAACCATATTCTGTCATTTAAAGTATCACCCAAATCAGTATGTTGTTTTTCCAGTTACTGAAATGCAAGACAACAAGTCTAATGAGATGCAACAAGTATACTGAACAGCAGAATAAGAATTGAGTGATTACAACTATGACATGGACTTTAAAAAACTGAACTGTTTATATATCAATCATTCTTTACTTGTATACCCATCCAATTTCCATTGCACAAAAAAGAGAGGTGCTGTTTACTCATTCTTAAAGAAAAAGTTATTAAGAAGCTACTACTTATAGCAATAGTTTTGCAGTAAGCTCCTACAATAGGTTTGTTCAATAAATTGTTTCGACAATGTGTAACTACACAAATATGTTTATCGACATGGAAGTATTTTGCATTTGTAATCATTGTAAGAGTAATTAGAGGATCAGATGCAAAATGACATCCATGCAATGGGTTCTTGAAAGTATTTATGCAAGTGAAGAATATGGTCAATATGTGTAGATTCAATGATCAATCAAGATATTTAATATAGCAAACCAAACAATTTTTTAATATTGCTTTAGTATGAGAACATTTGGTGCAAAGAACATATCAGAGAGGGAAATGATGATGTGTTGGAACAGATTATTTGTTATTCACCACATACAAAGCCTATCAAACTTAAATAGTGCAATTATTTAGTTTTTTCATGTTTTATATGCTATAGATCTGTTTTAATTGAAAGTCATATTTGACTTACTTAATGATGTTTCAATATAAATATATTACTTTTTTATATAAACTAATCTATCTTTAAGTTGAATTTTGGGGACCCAAATTTATGACTAGATTTTTCATTTATCGTCAGCATATGGAAATATCTCTATGTATTTATTTTTCATGAAACTTATACTGTTAATATATTTTTACAATTATAATTCTATTGAAACTAAATCCTGCTGTGTTGTAACTTATGCTGATCATAAATCAATTCTTAAAATCGCGGATTCGGTAGTATTGAATCTCTAATAAAGATGGCGCGAAAGTTTTTCCTTATAAGGTCAAAATATTTCCCATGATGCAGTTCGCGGGGGAACAAAATTTTTCTACCTTGTTTTTCCCCGTTGGTTTAACATGGGGATTTTCATACCCATTTTTCAAGCGATATTTTCGATCGAATCTCCATGCGATCGGAGAAAACAAACTATCAGAAACAATTAGTCTTTTAATAATCTTTATATAACATATATTTTTTTTCATTTTATTGGCTCCTAACGGGGTGAAAACAATGATTGAAAATGGGAGTATATTCCGGAAGAGAAGAAGTCACGTGACTAGTCGCCATATTGGAAAAAGCAATTCCATTCGACTTTCAACACGTTCATGCCAATATTACCGCACTACAAACTGTAACATCGATGCAACAACTGAATAAAAGTACTCATCTTCATATTACATTATAGAGTTACGTTGAAAACCCACAAACAACTGAGCATTTGACCAAAGAAGACACGTCGCTATTATCTAGGTCAAGTTTAGTGGTTCGAAAGCAAATCTTACATACTCGTTTCCGAATTTTGTTGTTAATTGTATAATCTTTTATTGATTAAATCTGGTATACTGACTATTAATTCAATGACAAAGAAGAAGAATTCCGATGGTGTCATTTTTTTATTTAGCTTGCGGGTGTAAAAACAAAATTGCGTAATTAATTTGATTTAGAACTTTCGGGTCTCACAAATAGCTACACGAAATGCATCGTTGAAAAATATTGACCAATCAAATTTTGTCCTTTTTGAGTACATATATGCACCATATATGCGAACGTTCTGATTCAAAGAGCGAACAGCGAAATGGAGAATTCTATTGAAACTAAATCATGCTGTGTTGTAACTTATGCTGATCATAAATCATTTGAAAAAACTAGTAAGATTGGACTGTAGGCCCAGTGATGAATGTAGACATGACCCATATGATAGACAAAGTACTAGCTGTTGACATGGTTGGTGAATAGTCCTCTATAGTTTCCATTATTTGTGAATAACCATGGTCTAGGGCCAAGACTAAATACCATTTGGAGTTCTGAACTTCTGACAAGACAATATCTGATCATCTAAAAAGTTCATGTAGATCTCATTGGTTGAGGTTGGTATGGAAGTCACTTTTACTTCCTTATTTTCCAGAGCCAATGTTATTTCAATCAGAGTTTTTATCAAAATTGATAAAAGTTTTACTCAATCTGATGATTTTGTCTAAATCTGAAAAATCTATTTTGCCCGAAGCCCAAGTTATTCAGTTTATAAGAAAATGGACAAAGTGAATTTAGAATTATCAGACAATAGCAGATAATTTTGATAACTTGTCGATTATTGATAATTATCGAATTTATTGCTAATAGGAATACTATCAAAATTATCAGTACCAGCGATAATATTAACTTTATTGATAATGCTGATTTCTTGCGTGCCCTGTAAAAAAGTTACAAATATCGCTAAATTATAATCATAATTATTTTAATTAATTTTAGATCATAGCAGTAAAAATCATATCAGTATTACAAAAAAGTATTCAATATGATCAAACAGGACTACTCTGCGACTTGAAAACCAATATGTTGGGGAAAATATTATTCTGATCCTAGACCTGCAAGAATACATTGTAATCTCTTGAAAGCCCATGATTTGAAGAAAGAAAACAAGGCATACTTTGACTTTCAGAAGGCATTCGACACAGTTCAACTGTCTATATTCTGGCGTTTTCATTATCTTCAGTGTTAAAATAACAATGCGTACCCTATCCTGAATAAAGTGTTCCTCTAATCATTAAATTAAACGCAGATTGGAGAAGTTATTCAGGAAAAAATTTCTTAATCGGGTTGTTCTCACTTTCTTCGTCGGCCGCCATATTGGATTTTTCGAAAAATGATAAAATATCCGAGGGAAAAAGCGTATCATAGCCGGGCCATCTGAAATGAGGATGTTTTTCCAAGTTATTCTGATTCATTGGGCTTGTTGCTATGTTTCTGTGAAAAAATAATTTCTGTTCCACTTAAAACATCGACGAACTTCATAAAAAACAAGTCTCGAATTTTCGAAATATTTTTTTGATCGCCAACCACACTTGATACGATCGATATATTTACAAATATTTGGGCTTAAAATATGCTTCAATTCATTCTTAAGACGTATCTTATAGGAATTGTATTCATTGGTGACTATTTAGGGGTGATTTTAGAGCAAATAAATCATCGATCATTTCCGGAAGTAGAAGCTCAAAAATCATGCGCAGAAAAACAAAAGTAAAGACATTTCTCTGACCTGCCGAGCGACTGAATGCATATCACAATATACCATAAATCCTTATACAATTCCTCAATGCATATCAGAATCATCATGAACTCTAACTTACAACTTCACAATGCATATCACAGGTATCAAAAGCCCTTCACTCTTCACAGTGCATATCACAATCATCATAAATCTTGATACAACTTCACAATGAATATCACAATCATCATAAGCCCTGATACAACTTCACAGTGCATATCGCAATCACAATAAATCCTGATACAACTCCACAATGCATATAACAATTACCATAAATCCTGATAAAACTCCACAATGCATATAACAATCACCATAAATCTTGATACAACTTCACAATGAATATCACAATTATCATAAGCCCTGAAAAAAACTTCATAATGCATATCACAATCACCATTTGCCCTGATACAACTTCACAATGCATATCACAATCACCATAAGCCCTGATACAACTTCACAATGCATACCACAATCATCATAAGCCCTGATACAACTTCACAATGCATATCACAATCATCATAAACCCCGATACAACTTCACAATGAATATCACAATCATCATAAATCTTGATACAACTTCACAGTGCATATCACAATCATCAGAAACCCTGATTCAACTTCACAATGAATATAACACTCATCAAAACCCTCATAATACGAATCTAAAATGTGATAAACCTTGTCACTTTAATTTGTATATATTTCAAGTTTTCTCTTCTTTATATTATATTATTACGTTTAAGATTTCGTGAGTAGTGGGAAGACGCCCATTGTTTTGATCCAAGATGTCAGCGCCCTCAAGAATAATCGTCCAGAGCGATTGGGATCAATCTTTGAGGTATTTTAAGTTCTTGCTGTGTATATTATTATATCTTGACATGCTGAGATACATTTTAGTAATCTTTCTTCGTATTTCCAGGACAATCAATGGGAAAGCATGGTTGACTGTAAAGAAAACTGGTATGTAAAATTTGATTCCCAAATCATCCACCAATTATCGCCCACTTTTTATTTATTATTTCTTTTTACGACGATATTGTAACTGCAATTTTGTGAATCTTTCAATGTTCGTATTTTTATTATCCTAATCTATAGTCTATAAGTTACATTGGATTGAATACCAGGGCTGTCAACTTGGGACCACCTAATATGAGTGACTTACAAATGTTGGACACCTAAGTCCAAATATGAACACTTTTGTCCAAATTTTTAACACTTTTAAACACCTTTGGCCAAAGATTGAGCACCTTTGCCAAATTTGGATCACCTCAAATTTTTTCGCGCTCGCTACGCTCGCGATGTCTTCAACAGGGGGAGGGGGGGTGGGGGGAGGTACGAAAATTTCCAATTAACATGCGTGACATATACGGGATACGCATGACAAATCGAACAAATTGCATTCGGGTTTTTTCCGACGTTCGTATTTTTACCGTATCATAAACATATTTTGAAAAATTTTCTACAGAAATTTTTTTGCTTGACAATTACCAGGTAAAATGCGTGACTTCAAATTCTTCAGCAAATGCGTGACAAATACGCAAATTGCGGGACAGTTGACAGGCCTGGAATACGTGATATAAAATTCCATCTGAAGCCATCACTAGGTTCCTCAGTGGCCTCGGCCTCAGTGTAAATTCCAATGCCCAGATCCTTGAATAATGTAAATTTACTTTCTTGAAGCAAAATAACTTGGGAAGTATAGAAGTAAGCTCAATATTCTATTTACCTAACGGGATTGTGAGTCTCAGACTGCATCGTTTTTCTTCAAACTTGTTCCATAAAAGCAAAACAAAAATGCATTTCTGTTTGCACATTATACTCACAGTCAGCACTATCTTTATGTTTATCCTTTTTATTAGTCTATCATAATATCATTGATAGTGCTGTAATACAGAGTCCCTCCTATTAGCGATGGTTGGGTCCCCAGCTGTGAGAAGCGCTTCTAACAGCTGGGGACCCAAACGCCACTACAACAAGGGACCCTGTACAATAAAGTAATGCACCGACAGAAGGCATTCCTGTGGGACTCATTCATTCTTTGAGTTTTGCAAAGAGTCACAATTTACACAATGTCAGCCACATATTTACTTATTACACCATCAGAAACTAAACAAACTGAATATTGAGCCCCTCAATGTTGGTGATGTAACCACTATCCACCAAGCATGTGACCAGTATTGCAAGCTTTTCAGCTGTAATTACAGTATGACGACCTGTAAAATCCAATTCCACTACTGTAAATGTATCAACTGAGAATAATATCAAATGATGCCTGACCCGTCAAATTTGAATTACAGAAATCTTGAATGAGAAGTTTACTATGTTTTCCTTTCATAATTTCTTTGATAATTATAGTTGTTGCACATTTTCAGGATCCCCTAGTATTTATGGAGAAATTGTGACAACACAGCTCTCAGAGGAATGTGGCTCCCCCTATGTTAGGGCATCAGAAAATTTTGCAGTTCCAGCAATTTCAAAAGTAGGTTAAAGGGATATAATTCCAATTCTTCAACTTAGTTTCTTAGAGGCAATCAGTTATTCTTTAACTCCATGGTATTTCAAGTACATATTGCATGCACATTGTAATTTATTATTGAAAATGCAGTTTTGCCTCTGCTCTTTTGCGTAGGTTTATTCTGGGATGACAAAGATGAGATAATAATGAGTCTATTGTTGTAAAACCTCCTTTGCATGGCTTAATTGTCTCTGATCATTTTTTAAAATAATCTTGTAATGAAAGATGGTTCCTTTAAGGATACTTCACCATATTACATAGTGTAGAGATTTAGAAAGGGAAGTCAAATGTATGAAATGCTGTTTTAACAAATCACTTTTTTCAGAAATCCTTGACTGTCACCTATACAGATCCCGAGAGTGACATCAATTGTGTCACATGTCACTTCAGAGCTCCAAATGTCACATTCTCTACTATACATACACATGGAAAATCTGTAAGTTAATATCATATTAAATTAGTTAAACACACTTACAAACAAAAAATTTTAAAAATAGAAATGTCCCATTCGATTTCACTGTACATTGAAATATTTTGGTTTTGAAATATGTGTGTAAATACTTAATATTCATATTAGAATATTAAAAATATTTACCATTCTATTTTGATTTTAAATTTCCATTCTGAATGATAAATTTATTTTTGTTGTTCCTAAGTGATTTTACATCAAGATGAAAAAAAATATAAGGAGTAGGTTATTTTGATCAAAACAACATTTCTTTACTTGTTATTATTAGATGTCACTACTATATACATGTACTGCAGGATTTATCCTATTGTTGATATCTCTCTGTACTAACTTAAAGCAGATATGAAATGGTATTTTTAACCTAAAGGAATCAATATAATTTTTTGATAGATGTATTTGGACATGTTTTCTCATCAGTAGTGTGAAAACTATTTCACTCTAACGATCGTTATAGCTGCTTAATAAGCAATATTCGAATTGGTTGTGACGTTATTGGCCCCCACGTGATCTCTCACTGGCCCCCACGTGGCCCATTTTGGTCCATTAGATCATGACGTCATAATGCCAAAATGTTTTGTTATTTGTTTACACAACAATCCTATGGTTGCCGTGGCGTTGTGATTACTATGGAACCAATAAACCAAAACTAGATTTTGTATATGACGTTACTAATCACGTGGGGGCCAATTTGATTTATCGGTTAGTTTTATTTCGTTATCTATGACCGTTAGCAGTTATCTAACATTTATTTTATAATGGCTATCGCAAGAACTCTACGTTGGGCTTACAATGGAGAAAACCGCATTTTTGTAGCTGCAAGTTGAGAAAAGCTATTTCAGTTGTCCTTTAATAAAGTTACATAAAATAGCATTTATTCAGTAACATTTAAGTTTTAATTTAGCACTGGCAGATAGGTGAATCTACTGTCAGTCTGTAAGTGTATGAAATTCTGCACAACATTTGAAATTATTAAACAGTTTGAAGAACTCTTGATATAAATCACTTTATTAATTCAATTACGTACAAGATCATACTTAACAAAATAACATGAACACTTTTTATAATATTTAACAAATCATTGTAAATACCATTATATGGCACCTAATACTCCATCTTGGGGGTAATAGCCACTAAAACCTGTAAATATGTTACATTGATTTTAATAAATAAAAAAAATAAAAAAATAACTTCTAGGTACTAGGGCTAGATGTAACAGAAGGAGGTCTTGCAGTGTCATCAGATACTGCTGGGAAACTCCTCCTTTGGCAAACAAATAATGGAGAGATCAGGGTATGAAATTATTCATCAATCTAAATGTTTTGTATTGAATAAGAATAGTTGCTATATAGCTGAATAAAGCTGAATAAATATGTCACTTGTTTTGGTCTGGCCGTACTGCCTCATGCTTCAATGTTAAAAACTAACTTTAACTTTAAATAGTCACTTAATTTCATGATTCATCAAAAAGTGTTGGTTGAATTTGCATACTATGGGATGACCCTGTAAATGTACACATTGTGATAAAAATTTTGTTTGTTGAATTGGCTCAGATTTTTTTAATGAAAAAATCCCGGAAATGATTGAAATAATTGTATAAATCAAAGTTATTGTTGTGGAAAACTTTTCATTGAATTCAAATATGTTATCAAAAAAGTCATTAAAGGTTTAATATGCATATGTCTATGTCTATGTCTTAGTTTATAGTAATTAACAGATTAAGCTCTTTGGTGTTGATCCTTTTAGCTTCTGTTCTTATTTCATTTTTCCCTACATATAATGCATGTATTTATTTTTCAGAGAGAGCTGATAGGCCATGTGGGTGATGTATACACCTGTCGCTTTTTTCCCTCAGGTGTTGTCATTGTTAGTGCAGGGGCTGATACACAGCTGAAGATATGGTCTGCTGAAACTGGTCAATGTGCCGCTACCATTGTGGGGCATAAAGCAGGTAAAACATACATATACTGTATTCAATTTGGCATTTTTATAGAACCCTCCCCCTGATATCGAGCCATCCTTCTGCAACCTAAAGAACAATGAAATTTAAACAGACAATTCACATACCATAGTTACATAGGTATGTAATTTCATTATTATATTGAATATTGAAAGGAGAGAGTCTAATTCTTACATTCCCTTTCCACAATTTTGACAATTTTAGATGTTGACTAGACCTTAAATTCTAATTGTAGGTGTGAATGAAGTTAATATTATTGATCGTGGTAGAAACATACTTTCATGTTCAAACGATGGTACAGTGAAACTATGGGACTGTGGTCAACAGAAGTGTCTAGGTACCATAGAACCAAATACAGGGGTACTGAACTGTTGCGCTGTACAGAAGGTTTATTCAGATGTTACCCTTAGTGGTACGAGAGAAAATATAGGTGAGAGCTATAATCATCAGTTTGTATATAGCAGTAAGTGGAACACCCAAGGAAAAAGTGTTCCACTTGAAAGGTGTTCCACCTATAAAGGTTCATTTAACAGTAAGTCAGTTGGTCTTGGGAATTTGAAAAGTGTAAATATAATATACACCATTCAGTCTTACATACAATATTCCTTGCCCAATTTTTAAGTCACCGCCATAAATGGCGACATATTGTTATAGTCTCCAACTTTTTTTGTGGATGGTGGTGGGTGGTTGGTGCTTGGTTGTCGGCATTTCACATTCAGCATTTGTGATAAATGGTAAGTGGTGACATTTTGCATGTTAATGCCTTGTTTATCCTGCCTACTCCCCTGGCCTTTTCATACATGTCATAGTTTACAAGATTTATAATTTCAGATGAAAGAGAGATTGGTACTGCAGGAAAGATGCTTTTAACAGGAGGGGAAGGAAAATTACTAAAGGCATATGGCCTTCAAAGCAGGGAATCTGTAAGTGTTTCTTTAAATTACCTGATTTAATTTGTAGTAGACCTTGAATCAGAGATAGAGGAAGTTACAAAATTGTAATCAACACATTATTGTATAATACTTAATAAACCAAAATGTTTCATACTATTCCCAATTTTATTTCTCAAAAAGGATATTTTTTGATATTTTCAAATGGTGCATCTTTTTGAATTTAAGATGCAGGAATGTGTTAATTTTGATAAATTGTTTTCCTGAGTAAGGTATGGACGGAAAAAATATGAATTATACTAGTAAGGTATGATACGATATGGGGATATTGGGAAGGGGCTTTGTGTATTTCATTTTTAATGAACATTTTGTTGTTGTGTTGCATTAGCTGCTGTTTTCTCGGCAGTTATCAGTTATCAACTGTTTTGAAAAAAGAGGTTAATTATAATATGGTTGGCCAGGGTCACTCTACTCCACTAACAAAATCAACTTTCAAATGTTTTTCTACGAATAAAAAAAATTATTGTTCCACAACTAGATACAAGAGTAGCTATAATTTGTAGGTTTTGACGCCAAAAGTCCCAATATTAGTGTAGATCAGAATCACATGTACATGTTCTTAAATTTGCAAGTTCCATATGTTTTATAGGTGTTTGAGCTGCAGTGTCATGACGCAGTTAATTGTGTGACATTTCTGTCTGATGTTACTGCAGTGTGCGGGACACAGAGTGGTCATATAGTTGTCATAGACATCAGGAATCCAAGGTACATGGTCATATGGAGCCCCGTAGCCAAGATTTGCCAAGGGGGGGTTCAGTTTTCAAAAATTTCCAGGGGGGGTTCACATTTGACAATGTTGGCCCAAATATGGCTAAATTCACTTGAGAAGTGCTCAAAATGGTGAAAAACTGCATGATTTTGAAAGAATTTTTGGCCGGGGGGGGGGGGGTGGTCACCCGAACCCTGCGAACCCCCCTGGCTACGGGCCTGTATGAATACAAAGTTACATTGGTCGACAGTAACAGTAGGAATCCCAAAATGAAGCTTATTGTATTTTTGTCACATTTTTTTGCATTTTAACTTATACTGTATATTGGAAAAATTATTTTACAAGGAACCAATATTAACCATGCGTTACAGTCTGCAAACATAACGTTTTTAATAGATCTGCAATGTGGGTTAAATATCCTTGGTACATGCTACAATTGTCTTTAGAGTCTTTAAATTTCTATTTTAGTGTTCCATTGAAAGAGTACAAGGACACAAGATCAGCCATTCTATCAGTTTTAACACACAAGCAGGGGTTCCTTGCTTCAACAGGTAAGCAAGGGTCCTTCACTTCTACATGTAAGCCAAGGTTCTTCACTTCTACAAGTACACGTAAACAAAGGTTCTTCACTTCTACATGTACAGGTAAGCCAAGGTTCTTCACTTCTACATGTACAGGTAAGCAACGGTTCTTCACTTCTACATGTACAGGTAAACAAAGGTTTTTCACTTCTACAAGTACAGGTAAACAAAGGTTCTTCACTTCTACATGTGCAGGTAAACAAAGGTTCTTCACTTCTACGTGTACAGGTAAGCAAAGGTTCTTCACTTCTACATGTAAAGGTAAGCAATGGTTCTTCACTTCTACATGTACAGGTAAGTAAAGGTTCTTCACTTCTACATGTACAGGTAAACAAAGGTTCTTCACTTCTACATGTGCAGGTAAACAAAGGTTCTTCACTTCTACGTGTACAGGTAAGCAATGGTTCTTCACTTCTACATGTACAGGTAAGTAAAGGTTCTTCACTTCTACATGTACAGGTAAACAAAGGTTCTTCACTTCTACGTGTACAGGTAAGCAAAGGTTCTTCACTTCTACATGTACAGGTAAGCAACGGTTCTTCACTTCCACATGTACAGGTAAGTAAAGGTTCTTCACTTCTACATGTACAGGTAAGCAATGGTTCTTCACTTCTACATGTACAGGTAAGTAAAGGTTCTTCACTTCTACGTGTACAGGTAAACAAAGGTTCTTCACTTCTACATGTGCAGGTAAACAAAGGTTCTTCACTTCTACGTGTACAGGTAAGCAAAGGTTCTTCACTTCTACATGTACAGGTAAGCAATGGTTCTTCACTTCTACATGTACAGGTAAGTAAAGGTTCTTCACTTCTACATGTGCAGGTAAACAAAGGTTCCCTAATGCTACAGGTAAATGATTTAGCCTACTTACTTTAGTCTTGCTTTAAGACTGTGGACCCCCCTCCTTTATCTACTTCTCCAACACGTTACATAGGTGAGTGGGGTCCGGGGTCTTGAAGCTAGACTAACTTATTTCTACAGGTAAGCAAACGTTGCTCAGCTAAATATGTTTTTGATCATTTGACAATCTGGCACTGGACTGTGGAACCGCAGATGGAAAAACCTCATATTTTCTCATTTCAACATCAGTAAACCATCATCTATTCTACTGCTTTTAATGTTTCAGGGGATGGTTCTTGCTTCTACATGGATGAGTCTTACACTTCAACGTTAGACCTAACAGGCCCAGATTGTGATCCAGTGTACAGGGTGGTACAGGACAGAGACAATATTTACACTGCATGCAGGGATGGCAGCATTAGGAAATATAAGCTGGATTCTTGACAACAATTCAACATTGTATTATCGATATATGTAAATAGACAATTGAAGCAACTGAATACAACAGTTTTTATCGTACCTAATAAAGGTACGATATTGTCGTCAGCTTGACGGGCGGGCGGCGGGCGGGCGGGCGGCGTCTCACATTTCAGCTTGTCTACAGGTTTCCAGCCAAACCATTTGACAGATTCATATGATATTTTCAGGAATGTTTCTACGTATCAAAGTTAAGAACTGATTAGTTTTTGGGCATTCTGGGTAAATTTTAAGGTGGCCATTTTGGATTTTCCGTCCTAAAATCTTCACTTTCAAGACTTGTCTACAGGTTTCCGGCCAAACCATTTGACAGATTCATCTGAAATTTTCAGGAATGTTTCTACGTATCAAAGTTAAGAACTGATTAGTTTTTGGGCATTCTGGGTAAATTTTAAGGTGGCCATTTTGGATTTTCCGTCCTAAAATCTTCACTTTCAAGACTTGTCTACAGGTTTCCAGCCAAACCATTTGACGGATTCATCTGAAATTTTCAGGGATGTTTCTACATATCAAAGTTAACAACCGGTTAGTTTTTGGGCATTCTGGGTTAATCTTAAGGTGGCCATTTTGGATTTTCCGTCCTAAAATCTTCACTTTCAGGACTTGTCTACAGGTTTCCACTTTCCAGCCAAAGCATTTGATGGATTCATCTGAAATTTTCAGGGATGTTTCTACTTATCAAAGTTAAGAACTGATTAGTTTTTGGGCATTCTGGGTAAATTTTAAGGTGGCCATTTTGGATTTTCCGTCCTAAATTCTTCACTGTCACACTGCTGTGTTTTAGGTACGATATTGTACTTACATATTTTATTTACCCCCTCCCCCAAATGAAACTAACTTCGTTATTCCACAACTATTGATAATTGGACACCATCCCTTATTGAAAATATTATCACATTTTGTAATCTGCATTACATTTATCATGTTGGAGACAGGAGTAAATACTAGTAAATGTCAAAATTACAATTAATTTTTAAAATGTCATTAATTGCAAGTGTTGTAATAATTGTAACATCAATATTGAGATTAATGATATAACCTGTTTGAGAGAATACCTAAGCAGTTAAATTTTACCAATCAACAACGTTAGCTCATAATTATGCAAAACAAGTACACTTTTCACGCACAAATCTTGCACAAATTCATCATGAAAATACAAATATTTTATCAGATAAATAACAATCAGAGCTTGACAGATTCAGGGCTTTGACAGATTCATCTGAAATTTTCAGGAATGTTTCTACGTATCAAGGTTAAGAACTGATTAGTTTTTGGGCATTCTGGGTAAATTATAAGGTGGCCATTTTGGATTTTCCGTCCTGAAATCTTCACTTTCAAGACTTGTCCACAGGTTTCCAGCCAAACCATTTGATGGACTCATCTGAAATTTTCAGGAATGTTTCTACGTATCAAAGTTAAGAACTGATCAGTTTTTGGGCATTCTGGGTAAATTTTAAGGTGGCCATTTTGGATTTTCCGTCCTAAAATCTTCACTTTCAGGACTTGTCTACAGGTTTCCAGCCAAACCATTTGACGGATTCATCTGAAATTTTCAGGGATGTTTCTACGTATCAAAGTTAAGAACTGATTAGTTTTTTGGCATTCTGGGTAAAATTTAACGTGGCCATTTTGGATTTTCAGTCCTAAAATCTTCACTTTCAAGACTTGTCTACAGGTTTCCAGCCAAACCATTTGACGGATTCATTTGAAATTTACAGGGATGTTTCTACGTATCAAAGTTAAGAATTGATAAGTTTTTTGGCATTCTGGGTAAATTTTAAGGTGGCCATTTTGGATTTTCCGTCCTAAAATCTTCACTTTCAAGACTTGTCTACAGGTTTCCAGCCAAACCATTTGACGGATTCATCTGGAATTTTCAGGGATGTTTCTACGTATCAAAGTTAAGAATTGATTAGTTTTTTGACATTCTGGGTAAATTTTAAGGTGGCCATTTTGGATTTTCCGTCCTAAATTCTTCACTGTCACACTGCTGTGTTTTAGGTACGATATTGTTCACGTCTGTGCCTTGTTACTCTGTTGGGCATAATATGATATAATTCATTATTGTACATAGGAGGCTAGAAAGTGTCATTTTCTAAAATAGTGGATTGCTTTTACACAAAATCAAGAAAGAAATACTATGATGAAATTTTGTCATACATGTAGTTTATTGAAAATAAACACATTAATACATTAAATGCATTATAAAATACAGTTATTATGATTTGTTAAACAGCGATAACTTGAGAACTCATGGTCAGATTGATCTGAAATTATCAGTGATTGGATCACACATGTTATAGATAAACTGTATCTTTAGAGTTCAAGGATAATTGATTACCATGGCAACGAATTAATGTGTACAACCAGATGGTGCCATCTTGCCATGTAAATGCATCGTCAGTGAATGTATATGCTTTTATAAGGGCAGCCCTCATGATATAAAAAATACATCAATGGAATAGGAAATGACAAAATTAGCTTTCCAATGATGTCCTTAAGACTGTTTTATCACGATAGAAAGCATTCAACATCTTAAAATCTTAACATCGTATTCAATGCAAAAAACCGAAATCTTGAAACTCCAAAAAGTCGAACGTATAAAAATCAAAACCTATTAAAAATAAAAAATTGACACTTGTCCCCGTACCGCCATTTTGAAAGATAACCGTAACATCATCCAACGTGTAATACCGACGAGTAAAGCCTTACATTTGCTCTACGGCGACCGCACGTCAACCGCAGTTCCATACTCTTTGCATTCGTTCGACTTCGCCTCTTTAGAGAGCTTAGTTTATAACTAGTCTCTGTGCAGCTGTGCGTAGGGTTGTACTTCCCTGAAATCTGCGGCAAACATAGAAAAAACTCCGGTCACCTTGCGGTCTCTAATAGCGTATCCAGTTTTTACAGGCTGAGGCCGTAGCATCGCCGAAGAAACTATAATTCGGAGTTTTTTTTTTCATTCCTGTAGTGACCATCAAGTCTTGGGCAAACCGTAGAAATGTCCTAAGGTGGCCGTGCGCCTGGGGCACGGCCGTAAGTCCTCCTGCGACCGCCTTGTATCTACCATAGTTTTTTTTCAAAACTGCGACCGCCCTACGCTGACCGTGCGTCATCATTTATCAACCGTTCGGAAACTGTAGTTTTTTATGTCTCATCGATATCAAAGTACACCGAATGGCTGCCGTCGCAAATGTGACTGCTAAACTATCCGAAATTCTAAGGCGACCGTAGACTGCAGGCGCCGTAGAAATTGTGACCGAGGGTTAAGCTATCAATGTAAACTAAATATCATGGCATTCAAATTCAAGATAATGATTTATTCTTCTACTTTATTATCCATCTCAAACATGCTACATGTGTGTTGACAGGCCACTCTAAATAAATCAACCTAGAGATTATTAACCTTTGGGAGGCTGCAATTTTTGGTTTTTTTATGGTACAGGGTGATCGAAAAAAAGGAGACCATTGAAGTAGGCAATATCTCCTAAACTAGACAAGTGACATATCAAATTTTGCACACACCAGAACAGTTCTATGGAAATTTGTTCCTGAAAGTTTAAATATAGCCAGTCAGCTGGCTCAGGAACTTTGATCATTTACATTACATGCTCCAACAACAATTATGAGCAAAATGCAGAGCTTTTTTTTTTTTTTTTTTTTTTTTTTATTATTAAATTAATCATTTGTACAAAGAATACATACAATAATACAGTGTAAGTGGCTGTGCTTTTAGCATTATTAGCCACGTTCTACAATTACAATATACAATGTATTCAATCAATAATATTTGATTAAAATAAATGAGATACAATAAGATAAAAGTTGTTTTGTGGAGGATTTCAGACATTTACACATCGCTCGAAGAAAATGGCACTGCACTTTAAAACAATCAGATTCTCAGCTCTACTTAATGTTTTATCACCATTGAGGATCAGAAAAAGTTTATCACGTTGTGTCTTATATTTACGGGAGTATTGTATATTCATATTTTTTAGTTGGTTTTCTAATTCAGTCCAGAATGTTAATCTCAAGTTACATCGAAAAATCACATGGCTGGTTGTTTCACTGTTAATACCACATGAGCATATGGGGGAATTTACATTGGTAAAGTTATGCGAGTAAAGGTGAGCTTGATTCATATGTCAAAATTGTCAATTACCCTTACCCCATTTAACCCTTATTATGGCATTACATTTAGCAGTTATTGCCTTCTTTAGGCCAGTAATTGTCTGAGGATTGTTTTGGTATAGTACATTGTCTTTCAAATATGAGATATTGCCTACTTCAATGGTCTCTTTTTTCCGGTCACCTTGTAATAGGACGTCTTCGTCGCTCCCAGAACAATAAGGAAATTCCACCATCACAAATATTAAAATTATATTAAATATTAAAATTAGTATTGTTCAGTTTTTATACAGTTGAAAAAGGATCCAGACAGGATCCGAAACGTACTGTTTAGTAAAATAAAGGTTGTGAAAAGAAGAAAAATATTTTTGTGATTAAAATTTCAGAAATGAAGATTGTATATTTTACCACAATACATGTAAGTTGCGGATCAATTTACCAGCTGTCGCGGCTACTAAGCTGTTTCTCAGTCATAAAAAACCCCTGGCTCAGTGTACAACATACGTGTGTTGCGCGGTTGCCTTCGAATAGTTTGCATTGCTACAGGTAGCTTATGTAAGAAGATAGCAGTATTGTTTTCATCAACTGAATAAAACAGTCTGACGTTAATGTTACTTTTTTTACTCTGTACTCAATCTGATGCTAATGTTATTCGGACACTTGCAATTACAATTACATGAAATACATTTTCTATCATGGGCAACAGGCATATGCTTTAGGCATTCGAAGTAACTGCCTCGCCATCATTTTCAGAAAAAATATTTATTCACAATTTCCAGTCAAAACTGAAAATAAAGTCTGATGACATTATTCATTAGCTTTCAACTCAAACTTGCCTCTCAGAAATCCTTGACTGTCACCTATACAGATCCCGAGAGTGACAGCAATTGTGTCACATGTCACTTCAGAGCTCCAAATGTCACATTCTCTACTATACATACGCATGGAAAATCTGTAAGTTAATATCATATTAAATTAGTTAAACACACTTACAAACAAAAAATTTTAAAAATAGAAATGTCCCATTCAATTTCACTGTACATTGAAATATTTTGGTTTTGAAATATGTGTGTAAATACTTAATATTCATATTAGAATATTAAAAATATTTACCATTCTATTTTGATTTTAAATTTCCATTCTGAATGATAAATTAATTTTTGTTGTTCCTAAGTGATTTTACATCAAGATGAAAAAAAATATTAGGAGTAGGTTATTTTGATCAAAACAACATTTCTTTACTTATTATTAGATGTCACTACTATATACATGTACTGCAGGATTTATCCTATTGTTGATATCTCTCTGTACTAACTTAATAAAGTTACATAAAATAGCATTTATTCAGTAACATTTAAGTTTTAATTTAGCACTGGCAGATAGGTGGATCTACTGTCAGACTGTAGGTGTAAAAAGTATTCAAAAAATTGAAACAAAATCCCCCCAAAATAGACAAAAATCAAGATAAACCTTTTATTTCATTAACAAGATATTTTTAAAGTCAACCAAAATATCCTTTGTACAATTACAATATTGAGAGACCTAAACATGTTGTGTTTATGTCGTTTTGTTCCAATGAGGTTCGGAAAGATCTTTCATTTCACTCTGGAAACGTGATACCAAGAACAAAACAAGTGTTTGATGTGTTTTCTAAAACAATATAGATGAAAATATATATATACATGTATATTGTTACCATTCAAAAGATGACCATTAAATTGACGATGTGTTAAAATTTTAGATTTTTTTATGACTGGTTTAAGAGAAATGTGTGTTTAAAAAGTTCTCCTTATCGATACCACTCCTTTAAACAGACAATTCACATACCATAGTTACATAGGTATGCAATTTCATTATTCATTCGTTTGAATGAATATTGAAAGGAGAGGGTCTAATTCTTACATTCCCTTTCCACAATTTTGACCAAATTTTAGATGTTCGACTTGATGCCTAAATTCATAAATTCTAATTGTAGGTGTGAATGAAGTTAATATTATTGATCGTGGTAGAAACATACTCTCATGTTCAAATGATGGTACAGTGAAACTATGGGACTGTGGTCAACAGAAGTGTCTAGGTACGATAGAACCAAACACAGGGGTACTGAACTGTTGTGCTGTACAGAAGGTTTATTCAGATGTTACCCTTGGTGGTACTAGAGAAAATATAGGTAATCATCAATTTGTATATTATAATAAAAGCTGTGTCCACTTGGGAGGTGTTCCACTTATAGAGGTTCATTTAACAGTAATCTGTTGGTCTTGGAACTGAAAAGTGTTCTAGAGGTGTTCCACTTCGAGAGGTGTTCCCCTTTACAGGTCTCTTTGTAGTCATATCTCAAACTATTTCATTGGACATGCACCCGTCAGTTTCCATATTTAACAAGAAAGTTAGCCCAGGCTCTTCAAAATAAATCATATTGTATTAACATGAATTCATTATTTAAATAAGAACCATAACCTATGAGCATTTAATCTGGACTTGGACAGGTAAGGCAAGTCCCTCACCAAAATAGGATTATTTCTATTCAACCAAAACATATATACATGTAATATAATATTCATCATTAAGTCTTATATACAATATTCCTTGCCCAATTTTTAAGTCACTGCCATAAATGGTGACATATTGTTATAGTCTCCAACTTTTTTTGTGGATGGTGGTCGGTGTTTGGTTGTTGGCCATTTCACATTCAGCATTTGTAATAAATGGTAAGTGGTGACATTTTGCATGTTAATGCCTTGTTTATCCTGCCTACACCCCTGGCCTTTTAATAGTTTACAAGATGTATAATTTCAGATGAAAGAGAAGTTGGTACTGCAGGAAAGATGCTTTTAACAGGAGGGGAAGGGAAACTACTGAAGGCATATGGCCTTCAAAGCAGGGAATCTGTAAGTGTTTCTTTAAATTACCTGATTTAATTTGTAGTAGACCTTGAACCCTTGAATCAGAGATAGAGAAAGTTACAAAATTCTAATCAACACATTTATTTACTGGTCTATATTGGGGTATGTATGACCACTAAAATTTATGATTGCAAATAGTTGTGGTCTTGTCTATTTATCATATTAGAATCGTAACATATTTTCAAATGGTGCATTTATTTTGGATTTAAAATGCAGAAATGTGTTAATTTTGATAAATTGTTTTCCTGAATAAGGTATGGACCTTTTGGAGAAAATATGAATTATACTAGTAAGGTACATGTATGATCCGATATGGGGATATTGGGAAGGGGCTGTGTGTATTTTATTTTTAATGAACATTTTTGTTGTTGTGTTGCATAAGCTGCTTTTTTATCTGCAGTTATCAACTGTTTTGAAAAAAGAGGTTAATTATAGTATGGTTCGCCAGGGTCACTCTACTCCACTAACAGAATCAACTTTCAAATGTTTTTCAATGAATAAAAAAAAGTAAATAATTCATTCTTCCACAACTACATGTAGATACAAGAATGGCTATAATTTGTAGGTTTTGACGCCAAAAGTCCAAATATTAGTGTAGATCAGAATCAGATGTACTTAAATTTGCAATTTCTGTATGTTTTATAGGTGTTTGAGCTGCAGTGTCATGACGCAGTTAACTGTGTGACATTTCTGTCTGATGTTACTGCAGTGTGCGGGACACAGAGTGGTCATATAGTTGTCATAGACATCAGGAATCCAAGGTACATGGTCATATGGAGGCCCGTAGCCAAGATTTGCCAAGGGGGGTTCAGTTTTCAAAAATTTCCAGGGGGGTTCACATTTGACAATGTTGGCCCAAACATGGCTAAAATCACTTGAAAAGTGCTCAAAATAGTGGAAAACTGCATGATTTTTAAAGAATTTTTGGCCAGAGGGGGGTTCGCAGGGTTTGGACTGGCTACGGGCCTGTATGGATACAAAATTACATTGGTCGACAGTAACAGTAGGAATCCCAAATGAAGCTTATTGTATTTTTGTCACATTTTTTTGCATTTTAACTTATACTGTATATTGGAAAAATTATTTTACAAGGAACCAATATTAACCATGCGTTACAGTCTGCAAACATAACGTTTTTAATAGATCTGCAATGTGGGTTAAATATCCTTGGTACATGCTACAATTGTCTTTAGAGTCTTTTAATTTCTATTTTAGTGTTCCATTGAAAGAGTACAAGGACACAAGATCAGCCATTCTATCAGTTTTAACACACACGCAGGGGTTCCTTGCTTCAACAGGTAAGCAAGGGTCCTTCACTTCTACATGTAAGCCAAGGTTCTTCACTTCTACAAGTACACGTAAACAAAGGTTCTTCACTTCTACATGTACAGGTAAGCCAAGGTTCTTCACTTCTACATGTACAGGTAAGCAACGGTTCTTCACTTCTACATGTACAGGTAAACAAAGGTTTTTCACTTCTACAAGTACAGGTAAACAAAAGTTCTTCACTTCTACATGTACAGGTAAACAAAGGTTCTTCACTTCTACGTGTACAGGTAAGCCAAGGTTCTTCACTTCTACATGTACAGGTAAGCAGCGGTTCTTCACTTCTACATGTACAGGTAAACAAAGGTTTTTCACTTCTACAAGTACAGCTAAACAAAGGTTCTTCACTTCTACATGTGCAGGTAAACAAAGGTTCTTCACTTCTACGTGTACAGGTAAGCAAAGGTTCTTCACTTCTACATGTACAGTTAAGCAATGGTCCTTCACTTCTACATGTACAGGTAAACAAAGGTTCTTCACTTCTACATGTGCAGGTAAACAAAGGTTCTTCACTTCTACATGTACAGGTAAACAAAGGTTCTTCACTTCTACATGTGCAGGTAAACAAAGGTTCTTCACTTCTACATGTGCAGGTAAACAAAGGTTCTTCACTTCTACATGTACAGGTAAACAAAGGTTCTTCACTTCTACATGTACAGGTAAGCAAAGGTTCTTCACTTCTACATGAACAGGTAAACAAAGGTTCTTCACTTCTACATGTGCAGGTAAACAAAGGTTCCCTAATGCTACAGGTAAATGATTTAGCCTACTTACTTTAGTCTTGCTTTAAGATTGTGGACCCCTCCCCCCTTATCTACTTCTCCAACACGTTACATATGAAAAGAAAATGTGGACCCCCTTATATACTTCTCCAACACGTTACATATGAAGAGAAAATAGGTGAGAGGGTCCAGGTTCTTGAAGCAAGACTAACTTACTTAACTTCTATTGGAAAGCAAACGTTGCTGAGCTAAATATGTTTTTGATCATTTGACAATCTGGCACTGGACTGTGGAACCGCAGATGGAAAACCTCACATTTTCTCATTTCAATTTCAGAAAACCTACTTTTATTTTTAGGAGATGGTTCTTGCTTTTACATGGATGAGTCATACACTTCAACGTTAGACCTAACAGGCCCAGATTGTGATCCAGTGTACAGGGTGGTACAGGACAGAGACAATATTTACACTGCATGCAGGGATGGCAGCATTAGGAAATATAAGCTGGATTCTTGACAACAATTCAACATTGTATTATCGATATATGTAAATAGACAATTGAAGCAACTGAATACAACAGTTTTTATCGTACCTAATAAAGGTACGATATTGTCGTCAGCTTGACGGGCGGGCGGCGGTCGGGCGGGCGGCGTCTCACTTTTCAGCTTGTCTACAGGTTTCCAGCCAAACCATTTGACAGATTCATCTGAAATTTTCAGGAATGTTTCTACGTATCAAAGTTAAGAACTGATTAGTTTTTGGTCATTCTGGGTAAATTTTATTATCGTACCTAATAAAGGTACGATATTGTCAGCTTGACGGGTGGGCGGCGGGCGGGCGGCGTCTCACTTTTCAGCTTGTCTACAGGTTTCCAGCCAAACCATTCGACAGATTCATCTAAAATTTTCAGGAATGTTTCTACGTATCAAAGTTAAGAACTGATTAGTTTTTGGGCATTATGGGTAAATTTTAAGGTGGCCATTTTGGATTTTCCGTCCTAAAATCTTCACTTTCAAGACTTGTCTACAGGTTTCCGGCCAAACCATTTGACAGATTCATCTGAAATTTTCAGGAATGTTTCTACGTATCAAAGTTAAGAACTGATTAGTTTTTGGGCATTCTGGGTAAATTTTAAGGTGGCCTTTTTGGATTTCCGTCCTAAAATCTTCACTTTCAAGACTTGTCTACAGGTTTCCAGCCAAACAATTTGACGGATTCATCTGAAATTTTAAGGGATGTTTCTACGTATCAAAGTTAAGAACTGATTAGTTTTTTGGCATTCTGGGTAAAATTTAAGGTGGCCATTTTGGATTTTCCGTCCTAAAATCTTCACTTTCAAGACTTGTCTACAGGTTTCCAGCCAAACAATTTGACGGATTCATCTGAAATTTTCAGGGATGTTTCTACGTATCAAAGTTAAGAACTGATTAGTTTTTTGGCATTCTGGGTAAAATTTAAGGTGGCCATTTTGGATTTTCCGTCCTAAAATCTTCACTTTCAAGACTTGTCTACAGGTTTCCACTTTCCAGCCAAACCATTTGATGGATTCATCTGAAATTTTCAGGGATGTTTCTACTTATCAAAGTTAAGAACTGATTAGTTTTTGGGCATTCTGGGTAAATTTTAAGGTGGCCATTTTGGATTTTCCGTCCTAAATTCTTCACTGTCACACTGCTGTGTTTTAGGTACGATATTGTACTTACATATTTTACCCCCTCCCCAAATGAAACTAACTTCGTTATTCCACAACTATTGATAATTGGACACCATCCCTTATTGAAAATGTTATCACATTTGGTAATCTGCATTACATTTATCATGTTGGAGACTGGAGTAAATACTAGTAAATGTCAAAATTACAATTAATTTTAAAATGTCATTAATTGCAAGTGTTGTAATAATTGTAACATCAATATTGAGATTAATGATATAACCTGTTTGAGAGAATATCGAAGCAGTTAAATTTGTCCAAATCAACAACGTTAGCTCATAATTATGCAAAACAAGTACACTTTTCACGCACAAATCTTGCACAAATTCATCATGAAAATACAAATATTTTATCAGATAAATAACAATCAGAGCTTGACAGATTCAGAGCTTTGACAGATTCATCTGAAATTTTCAGGAATGTTTCTACGTATCAAGGTTAAGAACTGATTAGTTTTTGGGCATTCTGGGTAAATTTTAAGGTGGCCATTTTGGATTTTCCGTCCTGAAATCTTAACTTTCAAGACTTGTCTACAGGTTTCCAGCCAAACCATTTGATGGATTCATCTGAAATTTTCAGGAATGTTTCTACGTATCAAAGTTAAGAACTGATCAGTTTTTGGGCATTCTGGGTAAATTTTAAGGTGGCCATTTTGGATTTTCCGTCCTAAAATCTTCACTTTCAAGACTTGTCTACAGGTTTCCAGCCAAACCATTTGACGGATTCATCTGAAATTTTCAGGGATGTTTCTACGTATCAAAGTTAAGAACTGATTAGTTTTTTGGCATTCTGGGTAAAATTTAAGGTGGCCATTTTGGATTTTCAGTCCTAAAATCTTCACTTTCAAGACTTGTCTACAGGTTTCCAGCCAAACCATTTGACGGATTCATTTGAAATTTACAGGGATGTTTCTACGTATCAAAGTTAAGAACTGATAAGTTTTTTGGCATTCTGGGTAAATTTTAATGTGGCCATTTTGGATTTTCCGTCCTAAAATCTTCACTTTCAAGACTTGTCTACAGGTTTCCAGCCAAACCATTTGACGGATTCATCTGGAATTTTCAGGGATGTTTCTACGTATCAAAGTTAAGAATTGATTAGTTTCTTGACATTCTGGGTAAATTTTAAGGTGGCCATTTTGGATTTTCCGTCCTAAATTCTTCACTGTCACACTGCTGTGTTTTAGGTACGATATTGTTCACGTCTGTGCCTTGTTACTCTGTTGGGCATAATATGATATAATTCATTATTGTACATAGGAGGCTAGAAAGTGTCATTTTCTAAAATAGTGGATTGCTTTTACACAAAATCAAGAAAGAAATACTATGATGAAATTTTGTCATACATGTAGTTTATTGAAAATAAACACATTAATACATTAAATGCATTATAAAATACAGTTATTATGATTTGTTAAACAGCGATAACTTGAGAACTCATGGTCAGATTGATCTGAAATTATCAGTGATTGGATCACACATGTTATAGATAAACTGTATCTTTAGAGTTCAAGGAATATTGATTACCATGGCAACGAATTAATGTGTACAACCAGATGGTGCCATCTTGCCATGTAAATGCATCGTCAGTGAATGTATATGCTTTTATAAGGGCAGCCCTCATGATATAAAAAATACATCAATGGAATAGGAAATGACAAAATTAGCTTTCCAATGATGTCCTTAAGACTGTTTTATCAAGATAGAAAGCATTCAACATCTTAAAATAAGTTTTTTTGCTTTTTAAGGTGATAACATCGTATTCAATGCAAAAAACCGAAATCTTGAAACTCCAAAAAGTCGAACGTATAAAAATCAAAACCTATTAAAAATAAAAAAAATTGAGACTTGTCCCCGTGCCGCCATTTTGAAAGATAACCGTAACATCATCCAACGTGTAATACCGACGAGTAAAGCCTTACATTTGCTCTACGGCGACCGCACGTCAACCGCAGTTCCATACTCTTTGCATTCGTTCGACTTCGCCTCTTTAGAGAGCTTAGTTTATAACTAGTCTCTGTGCAGCTGTGCGTAGGGTTGTACTTCCCTGAAATCTGCGGCAAACATAGAAAAAACTCCGGTCGCCTTGCGGTCTCTAATGGCGTATCCAGTTTTTACAGGCTGAGGCCGTAGCATCGCCGAAGAAACTATAATTCGGAGTTTTTTTTCATTCCTGTAGTGACCGTAGAAATCATCAAGTCTTGGGCAAACCGTAGAAATGTCCTAAGGTGGCCGTGCGCCGGGGGCACGGCCGTAAGGCCTCCTGCGACCGCCTTGTATCTACCATAGTTTTTTTTCAAAACTGCGACCGCCCTACGCTGACCATGCTTCATCATTTATCAACCGTTCGGAAACTGTAGTTTTTTATGTCTCATCGATATCAAAGTACACCGAATGGCTGCCGTCTCAAATGTAACTGCTAAACTATCCGACCGCAGAAATTCTAAGGCGACCGTAGACTGCAGAAATGATAGGCCGTACGGTCGCCGTAGCAAATGTGACCGAGGCTTAAGCTATCAATGTAAACTAAATATCATGGCATTCAAATTCAAGATAATGATTTATTCTTCTACTTTATTATCCATCTCAAACATGCTACATGTGTGTTGACAGGCCACTCTAAATAAATCAACCTAGAGATTATTAACCTTTGGGAGGCTGCAATTTTTGGTTCACTTGTATGTCTCGTCCCGACGACCACATCTTTTTTTATGGTACAGGGTGATCGAAAAAAGGGAGACCATTGAAGTAGGCAATATCTCCTAAACTAGACAAGTGACATATCAAATTTTGCACACACCAGAACAGTTCTATGGAAATTTGTTTCAATATAGCCAGTCAACTGGTTCAGGAACTGTGATCATTTACATTACATGCTCCAACAACAATTATGAGCAAAATGCAGAGCTTGATTCATATGTCAAAATTGTCAATTACCCTTACCCCATTTAACCCTTATTATGGCATTACATTTAGCAGTTATTGCCTTCTTTAGGCCAGTAATTGTCTGAGGATTGTTTTGGTATAGTACATTGTCTTTCAAATATGAGATATTGCCTACTTCAATGGTCTCTTTTTTCCGGTCACCTTGTAATAGGACGTCTTCGTCGCTCCCAGAACAATAAGGAATTTCCACCATCACAAATATTAAAATTATATTAAATATTAAAATTAGTATTGTTCAGTTTTTATACAGTTGAAAAAGGATCCAGACAGGATCCGAAACGTACTGTTTAGTAAAATAAAGGTTGTGAAAAGAAGAAAAATATTTTTGTGATTAAAATTTCAGAAATGAAGATTGTATATTTTACCACAATACATGTAAGTTGCGGATCAATTTACCAGCTGTCGCGGCTACTAAGCTGTTTCTCAGTCATAAAAAAACCCTGGCTCAGTGTACAACATACGTGTGTTGCGCGGTTGCCTTCGAATAGTTTGCATTGCTACAGGTAGCTTATGTAAGAAGATATAGCAGTATTGTTTTCATCAACTGAATAAAACAGTCTGACGTTAATGTTACTTTTTTTACTCTGTACTCAATCTGATGCTAATGTTATTCGGACACTTGCAATTACAATTACATGAAATACATTTTCTATCATGGGCAACAGGCATATGCTTTAGGCATTCGAAGTAACTGCCTCGCCATCGTTTTCAGAAAAAATATTTATTCACAATTTCCAATCAAAACTGAAAATAAAGTCTGATGACATTATTCATTAGCTTTCAACTCAAACTTGCCTCTCAAAATAAATTTTGCCTCATTTTTGCCTCGCCAAATTTAAATCCCGGTCACGCCCTTGATTACAATGGACGAAAAGAGATTCGAGTTTCGATCAGCTTTCCAACGGTATCCGAATCAATTGGAAAGATTTGTAAATTGCGAATATCCTTAGTCTCCAAGTTAACTCGAAGGCAGACTACAAAGGGTTAAACACTTTCATTTTATCACAATACGTTCAAAGGAACAAAATAACATGGAAGCATCAAATGGAAGAAGGAAACTCGCATTTTTTGCTGTCAATATAATCGTTTGTTGTATGCTGTTTTTATTAATTGGAAATTGCATTAAAACAGGTAAATGATATTCTGAACATTATGCTAAGCTAAGTGGACAATGGGAATAGGAACATCCTTCACACATGTCACATCCATCGATTTTCTTTACAGGTCCATATTGGGGGGAAAATGTGGATCACCGTTTAATGAATCCTAGACTAACGAGCACACCACGGAGTTGCAATGAGAGAAATGAGCAAAAGTTTGTCCTGATATTCTCCTACGAAAGAAGTGGATCTTCCTTTTTAGGATGGGCAATAGATCAACATCCTGCTGTGTTTTACGTTTATGAACCGTTAAACCAACAATCTGGACCAAACAGGGTATGTTCGCTACTGAGAAATGGTTTAATATATTTCACGTGCATTCTGCATTGTTTAAATATCTTTGTTTTTTAAGAAATCTAAAAGCCGAAATGTAAGATTTTTACATTATTTAAATGTACTGATCTGATATCAAACCATGCCTATCCAAATCGTACTGATCGGGCATCTGATGTCAGTCAAACCATGCCTATCCAAATCATGGTACACTATTTACAGATTTACACGCATTGATCTGATGTCTATCCAAATGGTATACTATTTACATATCTGATGTCAAACAAGCCTATCAAAATCAAAATGAAAAAGTAAAGGTTTAATGTCTATGCCCCTACCAGAGTTGTCTCATTGATATAGCGTAGAATGACATGATTTGGGATACATTTTGGTCGAATATTATGTGTTACGAAATACAGAGTAGTCATCAACGCCCATGGTACCGATTGCATAACATATAATTCGTTCTAGGGATCGTTAAACAATGTTTCTTAAAGTGCAACTGAGACATCATGATAAACCATGACATCTCAAATCTTCTCAGCCCTGAGTAAGATGCTATGAGTTTCAGAATGCAACTGAGACGGCTATATGTCATTCTGATACTCCTCACATCTTTCTATCTTCAACCAGAAATATGTGCATATACTAGTGAAGCTTATAGAAGGCCATGATTTCTCATGATGGCTAGAAGTGGTTGAGAGTAACTTTCTGAAAATGTCATACTTTTTACATCATTTTGTTGCTTACGACATGTACGAGGTCTTTTTTTATATTATTAGACACGCTTAGCTAAACAAATCCAATTTTGCGACATTAATAGTATTGATATTCCAAATATTTTTCAAGAATTTATGTTTTATGCAAAAAACATTTCACAACCTGTGGAAAATGTGTTGTATATCATGAAAGTAATAGTTATTCAATGATATTCATAGATTCAATGGTTGAAACAATAAATCTTTTGCATGATCTGTTAAATTGAGAAGAAAAATAGTTTGCTTAACAGTGTGAATTGCCTTCCAGCAACATGTAAAACTTCAATTTCTCACTCTGACGTTAATTTTTCATGTCATCAGTCAATCTGATTAGTATTTTGAAAATTTCAAAAGAAATGAACTATATGTTTTGTTAGTTAAACTATATTGTCTGTGTTAGATGGGAGATAGCATTAACTCCATATCTGATTGGCATCGTTTGGTCAAATATGAACGGTGTAAGTTTTAATAAAGGATTTAAGCCCTTGACGTGCAATGGGTAATTATGTTTCACTCCTTTTAATCATTGGTGTATTTCCCTCACTTAGAAATTGGGACAGACTGACCAAAGCATGTCCATATCCGAGTATCAATAGGCCAATCAGATTTCTTTCGTAATTCTAGAGTGAAGATGGTCATTCATTTTTTCCTGTTGAAAAGGTAGAATAGGTTGAATACTGTTGTCGATCAACTGTGCCCGGGTAACTGTCTTTTTATGGTCGTCCATGGGAAGAAATATCCAGACTATTGTAAATATGGCTGTCCCATTGTTGTCAACACTTCTGATTTACATGTACACTTGCCTTCATTAACAATCATGACGCCACCAAAACATTTCATAAAAACGAACAAACAATAGTTAAATTATTGTCGAGTGTTGGTTATATCGGAGCCGTTTTATTTGACATATTTTCAATGCCAGGTACTATAGTATATCAATCTAAATATGCCATTTATATTTTGAAGTCGATGACCTTCCCACGGAATACAAAGATCGATGACAAAATACTAGATCTAGAGGCTGAGGTTTACAAACAAATTCAACTCTGTAATTTGGATAATCTCCCGAGAGAATGTGATATCATGAGACATACACTCCTGCACCACGCGAGAAATTTGATCTATATGGAAAAATTCTCAAAATGCATAGAGAGTGAAAAGAAGAATCCTTTTGGTATAAGAAAACTAGATTACTGTACCCAAGGCATGCTTGGATTGTGCAAATCAAGACAGGTAGGTTTCCTTACTGAAGTTTCCTTCTTATGCTTCCTTACTTACAGTACTTTCCTTACATACTTTAAATACGTTAATTACTTTATGAAAAGGTTGCACCAGTGTTATCATCCGACTTGCATTCAAGTTCAGTATCAAACGAGCAACAAAGACCAGAGACGAAAAGAGGGTAACATTGAAAACTTTTACTTCAAAGATGATTTAATATATTTCAAGGTGGTGCTAGCAAAAGAGGTGCGGGGGACAATGGAGGGACTCTCTCGCTATCTTAACACGCTCAAGTGTTCAAACAATGTGAAGGTCATCCACCTTTTAAGAGATCCGAGGGGAGAGATAAATAGTCGTGAAAATGCAAAATGGACACACTTTGCAAAGTATAGACAAAGTAAAAAATACGACTTCATAAGCGCTATGTGTCAGCGTATGCAAAAAGATATAAGCATTAGACATGAACTAGAAAAGAAGTACCCAAATATGTTCGTGCAGGTTCGATATGAAGACTTTGTCGGGGATGTGAATACGACAATTGGGGCATTGTTAAAGTTTATAGACTTGCCGTTCTTTCCATACCATCAAAATACACTCAAATTAAAGTCGGAAAATTCATCAGACTATGTAAATAAATGGAAGAGCACTCTTGATAGGAGTTTACAGGAGAAGATTGATGAACAATGTGTGGGAGTATACAATTTATTGGGTTATCAAAAAATTATAAGAACAGAGAAGACATATACCTGACAAATTGATGAAACTACATAACGTGCGCTTTGAAATGAAGACACTTTTTGTTAAAGGTGCAACAATTAGTGCAGAGGGGCCATTGTCAAAATATATTTAAGTTTGGATATTTCATCAAGACTAACATATATTTTTATTATCTCCAAAGAAACCCCCTTGGATGAACATTCAGCTGATATTTCTTTTGAAACGTGGTGGATCTTAAAAATCTACACTGCCTCAAACGCGAATTATTAATCATGATTTAAATGTATATTAGATTCGATATTAAGCGTTATAACATTAAAATAATAACAAACGAATTTGATGAAAAAATAAAAATAACCGGAGAAAAATGAGGTATTTCAATTTAGAGATACCATATGGCATAATAGTATGTGTATAATTATTGGATATCCTATGATTTTGAGGAATATCATTTTTATCTACGAGGTGATATTGATATCTGCACGAGAGAGCGAAGCGAACGAGTGCATATATCAATATCACAGAGTAGATTAAAATGATCTTATTATTTCAAGCATTTCAATCAATTTGCCTGACCTACTTTTAAGATCAGTAATCATTTTCATTTCAACCATTTCAAGCAATTCGACCGTTTCGCCTCCATTTCAATCATTTCGCCTGGCAGTGTATAGAGAGAGACCGAGGCAGGAGATATCCCCTCCCCTCTACACCAAGCTTGTTCTCACTGCGTTCTCGAAAATTGGCTAAAGACCTCCTCACACATTACTAAAACATATCTACACATTTTGCGCATTTAACCATTTGATAACATATTGTGGATCTTTTCTTAATGTGTTAATGTGCAATTCGCACCTTCATTTGCATGGAAGACTTTGATAAAATCACTTTTTGATGATCTTTGTTCGAAAGCTGATGTTTGGCTAAGCTTCGATATTCCAAATTGAACAGTCTACTAAGAATACCATGGTGTTAATATTTTTTCTTTATAATATGTCGAGCTAGGACTGCTCAAACAAATTCGCTTTTTGTAGCTACAAGTATTTAATTTCAATAGATGATAAACTTCTCAATATACGAAATTACCCTCATAAGACATTGTTGCAAGGTGTGTTGCAATGAATGTGACACTCTGCATTCCCAGGCCCGCATTATGTATTCTCAAAGAAAGTATAGTACTATGTATTTTATATACATACTATGTCCCGATCTCATGTACATTTACGTTGCAAACAGTGAAAATATGCTAAAACGGCCGTCTGTTGATGCTTTGAGGTGTCTTCAATTGTCATTTAATCCAAATAAAGTAAACATTATTTTGTAAATTTAGACACGGGCTTTCAGATCGTATATGCATTTTAGTCCTTAAATTAACAAGAACGCTAGATTATACGTGTTACTAGGGTAATAAATTGAAATAAAATAACGAAATTAAATATGAACTCGTTAAAGTGCCCGATAAACTATAAAATGCGCATGCGTCCAGGTGTTGATAAACTATAAATAGCGAAAATCCAGGGTTTGTCACCACAAGGTAAGCCAGGACGTGTTGAGAGAACAGCTAGTGTTGATATTGAATTTATATGTAGCCAGATAAGTTTCCTTATTGAAATTACATATGGTTATTAGCAATACTTTGTAGGTGCTAAATAATAAAATATTTAGAGTATATATGAGAGAAATTGGTCATTTCGAACCTGTTGAAAAGTTTGTGGCTCTCGGCTACACCGGGGAATTTACTTCCATGAGTACACACATAAATGTGGGGTTCCCCAAGAGGTACGCGACAAGGTGACCTGGCATCAAATGTGCGACTATCACTATCGAGAAGATAAAATAACGAATACGACAATAAGTTATTTCATGTGACAATTCCGAGCCTTCATCTCACTGAAGTATTTTGAAGTGAAAATAGGATTTTTGTTTTGACATGGATTCAGGTGAACGTAACTTTATTCTGACAACTAATCAAAACTGAACAAAATTGATTGTACGTAACAGACAATTTATTGTTTTACAATATTTTGATTGGCTAAACGAATGAAACCAACAAATTATGACATGTAAAATAAAATGACAATTTTGAAATGTAAAATTTAAAAGTGACAAACACAACCTCCCTATCCACTCTTTGGGAGCCCTAGTAAATTAGTAATATGTACATGCAGCAGTGGTAGTGTGCAGCTTATTATCACACTACGCTTTGTATTCTAAAGCCTGTTGTTTGTAATAACACTGTTCACTCAACGTATGTTTTGTGTGTTGTATAATCATTGTTTTATCCCGGTTATATGACCTCGGCAATTATAACAAAACCGTACTAAACGAAAAAACGCAAATAAGAGAAAGCTTTCACACACATATAAAAAATGAACTAGTCTAATCCGCCAGTATAAACTCTGTGCTATACGTAGCCGGGTCAGGCGCACACTTTAAGGCAAGGAATGTAAATTGGGAGATGGTATCTTTTAATTCAAAAATATCATAATTTTATACCACAATATATCCCGTATCCTGATTTTGAGGTTTCCATATCTCCCGCTCCAGGCCATATCTTCCCGCTTTGAAAAAAATCAAAAAAAAATTGAAATAGAATTTTGAAAAAAATGTGATAAAATATATACAGTTAGTTAGTTAGTAAAATATTTATTAAAGTCTCACACTGTAGTTAACAATATACATACTAAAATAACATACAATAATTAACAGTCCCGCCGGCTTCGGCGTATGAGAGACTCAAGAAAGCAATGTAAAAATATATCAAAAATATGCTCAGATGTAAAAGTTTTAAATATCATATTCTCTTCTATTGCACATTATTTTATGTATAGTTTTTGCCAATGGTCTTTGTAAAATAGAATTGTTCATAATTGAGCAGTATTTAGCTAGACTAGATAATGTATTAAAGTCAGTTATTTCATTTTTGCAAAGTTCAATAAAATATTATTATTGTATCATGTATATTGTTTTAAAACATGTGTATAGATCATCTTGTTCTGAATTTTTGAAAGAGTGATATGCAAATTTGGAAAAATGTAAGTTAACATGAGAACTTTGAAAAAACATAATAGTTTTAAAACATTTTATCTTTGATAAAGTGAAGCTTATCCTCCATTATCCCACATTCGCTACACAACAGTTCACTTATTAAGTGGGTTTTGACTTTGGTTTTGAGTACCGTCCAACTTCTATTTATAATTTATGCGATCTCATTATGAGCCTAGCCTAATGAATTTCTATACTTATTTTGAATGTTTGAATATGGTTCTTTGGAGATAGAATTTTTGAATTTTTGAATTTTATATAGGTCCAAAGTACAGGAAAAGTAAGATTATCCTGTTTTAGATGATTAGATTATCCTGTTTTAGTTTTAGGGCATAACACTGCGCCAAACTACTTAAATGTGCATCTATGGTATGAATGTTAATCGTACCATTCTTCGCAAATGATTCATTTATGGGAATAAATGTTCAAAAAGCATTCATGCTAAATGTTCACAGTTTATTTTTATGTATTCATCCACCATCAATGAATGTATTTCTATGCACGTGGATATTCATGCAATGCGTATAATTATGTTCAGCGTTGCGTTACTGATAAGCACCTTTTGAATACACGGTGTACATATTTGCTTTCTAAAACGCATTTGAGAAATCAGAAAGGGGATACATGTACACTTCCATTTTAATCGTGGATATTGTGACATCAGTTAAATTTCACATATTGTGCTCTAGTGTTCCGACTTGAAAGATGATTCGAATGGAATTTTATTCAGTTGCATCTTACGGTAAGTATTCAAAAATTATTTGTTGTATTTACAATGTCAATGATAGTTAAATTTTACTGTTACGTAGTATTCAAAAACTCAATGTAGGAAATGAGTAAAAGATATATATATGTGGATAATGTAGATCTTTCTAGTCTAAAATGTGCAAATTAAGATAAAACTGAAAGACGTAGTACAAAATACATAAAGTTACATTCTTCCATTGCAGGTTCTTATTATTGGCGTTTTTTCACTAAGATGATACCCCATGATAATGAAAGTGCATAAAGAATAAGACATTTGTGGTCCTGTGGATGATTTTGTCTCCTTAATCATACAGTCAGACAAATGAGTAAGTTTTATTACAATATTATAATTTTTGAGACCAAAATGTTCAACAATAATCCTGTTGTTTAGCCTAAGTATTAACAAAAACTCGTAGCACAATTAATCATGAGACCAAAAACAAGTTGGGGCAGTAAGGTACAATCCTGGAGCAGTGGGGTACATTCATGGGGCAGTAAGATTTTATATGAAACAATATAGGATATCACCAGCATATTATTAATTAATATATTGATATACATGAAAGGTACCAAGTTGGGGCAGTAAGGTACAATCCTGGGGCAGTAAGGTACGATCATGGGGCAGTTAGGTACGATCTTGGGGCAGTAAGGTACAATCCTGGGGCAGTTAGGTACAATCATGGGGCAGTTAGGTACGATCTTGGGGCAGTAAGGTACAATCCTGGGGCAGTCAGATATGATCTTGGGGCAAAAAGGTACGATCTTGGGGCAGTAAGGTGCGATCATGGGGCAGTTAGGTACAATCATGGGGCAGTTAGGTACGATCTTGGGGCAGTAAGGTACGATCTTGGGGCAGTGAGGTACAATCCTTGGGCAGTCAGATATGATCTTGGGGCAGTGAGGTACAATCCTGGGGCAGTAAGGTACGATCATGGGGCAGTTAGGTACGATCTTGGGGCAGTGAGGTACAATCCTGGGGCAGTTAGGTACGATCTTGGGGCAGTGAGGTACGATCTTGGGGCAGTGAGGTACAATCCTGGGGCAGTTAGGAACGATCATGGGGCAGTAAGGTACGATCTTGGGGCAGTGAGGTACAATCCTGGGGCAGTTAGGTACGATCATGGGGCAGTTAGGTACGATCTTGGGGCAGTGAGGTACAATCCTGGGGCAGTAAGGTACGATCATGGGGCAGTTAGGTACGATCTTGGGGCAGTGAGGTACAATCCTGGGGCAGTTAGGTACGATCTTGGGGCAGTAAGGTACAATCCTGGGGCAGTCGGATATGATCTTGGGGCAAAAAGGTACGATCTTGGGACAGTAAGGTACGATCATGGGGCAGTTAGGTACAATCGTGGGGCAATAAGGTACAATCCTGGGTCAGTCAGATATGATCTTGGGGCAATAAGGTACGATCTTGGGGCAGTAAGGTACGATCATGGGGCAGTTAGGTACAATCTTGGGGCAGTAAGGTACAATCCTGGGGCACTAAGATTTTATATGAAAACAATATAAGATTTTACCTACATGGTTTTAATTGAGAGTGATATACATGAAAGGTACCAAGTTGGGGCAGTAAGGAACCATCCTGGGGCAGTAAGGTACAATCCTGGGGTAGTAAGAATGTATGTGGAAACAATATAAGATTTTACCTATATACTTTAATTGATAGTGATACACATGAAAGGTAAGAAGTAGGGGCAGTAAGGAACTATCCTGGGGCAGTAAGGTACAATCCTGGGGGAGTTAGGTTCAATCCTGGGGCAGTAGGAATTTATCTGAAAACAATGCAAGATTTTACCTACATGCCTTAATTGATAGTAGTACATATGAAAGGTACAACCTTTGGGCAGTAAGGTACAATCCTGGGGCAGTCAGGTACAATCTTGGGGCAGTAAGATTCTATGTGAAATTAACTGAAGATATTACCAACATGTATTTAATTGATTATGATATACATGAAAGGTACCAAGTTGGGGCAGTAAGGACCTATCCTCGGGCAGTATGGTACAATCTTGGGGCAGTTAGGTCAAATCCTAGGGCAGTAAGATTTTATGTGAATTCAATCGAAGATATAACCAACGTGTATTTAATTGATTATGATATACATGAAAGGTACCAAGTTGGGGCAGTAAGGACGGGGCAGTAAGGTACAATCTTGGGGCAGTTAGGTACAATCCTGGGGCAGTAAGATTTTATGTGAATTCAATCGAAGATATAACCAACGTGTATTTAATTGATTATGATATACATGAAAGATACCAAGTTTGGGCAGTAAGGTACAATCCTGGGCCAATAATCCTGTTGTTTAAGTATTAACAAAAACTCATAGCACAATTAATCATGAGACCAAAAAAAAGTTGGGGCAGAAAGGTACAATCCTGGAGCAGTGGGGTACATTCACGGGCAGTAAGATTTTATATGAAAACAATAAAGGATATCACCAGCATATTATTAATTAATATATTGATATACATGAAAGGTACCAAGTTGGGGCAGTAAGGTACAATCCTGGGGCAGTAAGGTACGATCATGGGGCAGTTAGGTACGATCTTGGGGCAGTAAGGTGCAATCCTGGGGCATTTAGGTACAATTATGGGGCAGTTTGGTACGATCTTGGGGCAGTAAGGTACAATCCTGGGGCAGTTAGGTACAATCATGGGGCAGTTAGGTACGATCTTGGGGCAGTAAGGTACAATCCAGGGGCAGTCAGATGTGATCTTGGAGCAATGAGGTACGATCTTGAGACAGTAAGGTACGATCATGGGGCTGTTAGGTACAATCGTGGGGCAATAAGGTACAATCCTGGGTCAGTCAGATATGATCTTGGGGCAATAAGGTACGATCTTGGGGCAGGAAGGTACGATCATGGGGCAGTAACGTACAATCTTGGGGCAGTAAGGTACACATCCGTGGCAGTATATAAAAATTAATATGAACACAATATAGGATATCAACATGTATTTAATTGATTATGATAGACATGAAAGGTACCAAGTTGGGGCAGTAAAGGTACAATCCTCGGGCAGTAAGGTACCATCATGGGGCAGTTAGGTACAATCATGGGGCAGTTAGGTACAATCTTGGGGCAGTAAGGTACAATCCTGAGGAAGTTAGATTTTATTTGGAAAATAATGTATCATCAAAATCGTTTAATTTGATAATGTAATCATAAACATGAAAGGGGCCAAGTAGGGTACAAAGTAGAGTAAGGTACGATCCTTGGACAGTTATATGAAAAAGTAAGATAGCACCAAAATGATGATATATACATGATGGCTACGAAATATTGAGGGCAGTTAGGTACAATCCCGGGGCAGTAACGTACATATCTTGAGCAGTAAGATTTCATTTTTTATTATCAACATGTTATTAATTGATTATGTTAAGATAAATAAGGAAGGTATCAAACCAAAATTGGGCAGTTAGATACAATTCTGAATGAAATTAAATGTGTGCCAAATTGCTCTGAGTATTGGTTGTTTCATTTTCATTCTTTTCATTTTCAGACGATAGATATCCTGGAGATCATGATCAATTGAAAGAGACAGGGCCCTTTGGATAGGAGTCAACTATCAGGTTTATTGGATGCAGATCTCGATGATAAGACAAAGAGATAACGATAGATGCCCAAAGTGCCGCTCGGAAACTTAAAAACATTTTAAAAACTGGATATGAAAAGACGACATTACCATTTATAAGAGACAATGAAACATACTATTTTTAAAAAAATGTTATCGACAAATATCACAGAACATGCAGATTAATACAACAGACTTTAAGAGGAATAATATGTCAAAATGCAGACGAACTTCTTCAATTAAAGTAAAGACCATTAAGATATTATATACATCTGCACATAAACATTTAAAATGCGAGTTAGATTTCAACTTGCAGAAAAGCGTAAAATCGAAGTGTTCTTTTTTATTTCATAGCACATTATATATTTTAAACTACATCTACATTATGTAGTAGAGTATATTTTAGATGAATTATTCTTCTGTTATCACGTTTTATGTAGATCGATATGCTTTTATGTATTTGTAATAAAATTCCATTTGCAACAAAACATCAAAATGTATTGTTACAATGATAAGAGAAAAAAGTCTACACATATATACACTGTACTGAGCAAAATAATCAACACCAACTACCAGTACCTTAGACCCCCCCCCCCATAATTCCAAAACAATATTAAAAATAACAACATTTTATATGCATTTAAATGTTACAAAACATTGGTAGAATGCTTTACAAATGTAAAAAGTCATTTAATGCTCATTCATGAATGCACGCTAAATGTATGCGTAACATTAAGCACACATAAAAATCCTATCCAGATGAGTGAATACAGGCTTAATAGGAGGCGAATGCGCTGTAAATGCGCACGGATGGTGGTGTACACTGGTCTATGTCTTCTAATGTTTCAGTTTTACACTGTGAATGGTCAATAAATGAGTATTAATACATTAAAGCATTTCAAGTACATAAAAAAGTGCCTATGCATCGCATATGTACAGTTACACGAGAGTGCATTGGTGAATGAGCGTCAACTCATAAATATCCATTTTTAAACATATATGTTGAATGAATTCGGAATGTGTTTGGATTGTACAGTCCATTAAGGTTGCTTTCACGCAGTGTAATTAAATGAAAATATAATCCTCTTATCACATGTACCTTTTCCAAATGATTAACAAACTTAATATCTAGATTTTATAAGAATAACGCTAAATCAGACATGCTCTTATTAGCAGCAGGAGCTATAGAAACAAATACTCAAAAAGAACTAAAAATAAAAAAATCTTTTAATGAAAAGATGACAAGTTCAATAGACGTAAAAACGTTTCAAGGTTATAAACGTATTCATGTACTGGACACGAAGGCTTATACAATGTAAACCACACGATACATTTTTGAAAGTAGTTATATCACAATGTAGGCCTATATTGAAACTTACGGCAAATTAACTCTGCTGTTTAGAAAATACCCCTGCAAGTAGATCTTTCAAATCATGAATGTCTCCACTTATTTTAATGTAAGTCAACCGCCCTCTTATATTCTGTAGCCTATATTAGAATATATTTTAATATAGAGCATATTGGAGAGCGACGGGGGGGGGGGGTTCTTCCCCGTGGCAACTCCTACAGATGAATAAGACTTTGGAGATAGATTGGAAACTGAAAATGTACAAACTACCACACTAGGTAGAATCATTGGATTATGTGTAAAAGTTGCTTTTGAAGCATTTTTCTATAGCTATTTTGTAGGAAAGAAATGATGAAAAAAATATAATCTTTTAATTTGAAGTATGGCCTGAATCGATTGCAAATTTCACATCTGATGTGATATACCATTTTTGTCATATTGTGAAATTATTTAATTTGCAATCGATTCAGGTCATAGTGTATTTTAGGTATTTTTGTGAAAATCAACAGAAACCAATGGCCTCCATTGGAATCTGATGATATCCACAGGCATGTTAAGTCAATGGAGCACATCCAATGTCAAGTCAATACACCCTTGCTGAACTTAATGACCTACACTCCCCTCCATAAGTTTGGCAACCTTTTTTCCCCCATTGAACTACGTGTTAAAGCCTCTTTACCTTTGAATTCTTATTTACTTAACCTGCGATGAAAATACTTATACTATTGATGGAAACGTAATTTGACTTTAATTCCAATACCTTCAAATTTTCTCAATTTTTTCCTCAATTACAGTAGGTCGAAAATTGATGATGAATTTGATGAATTTTTGAAAATCGACATTCCCATGTTAACCAATGGGAAATGGTAGGTTTGCCGCAAGTCATATGACAGAATATACATCCATCCGAGTCCTTGCAAAAAATACGAGTTAGGCAGGTAATTGAATTTGCTAACTTTATTTAACAAAACATTGATATGTTTCTTCAGGTTCAACAAAGTTATAGGGCTTTAAAGTCAAAATTGTTTTTCAAAAAACCTCTCCCATTGAAATAACACAGGAGGCGAAAAATTCTTTTCAAAAATGACTTTGAAGCGCTGTAACTTTAATATTCATCAAATAAACTAAACACTTAGTGTTCAAAAAAGTTAGACAATTCAATTTTCTATATAAAAATATTTTTTGCTGAATCTTTAGATATCCTGATTTCTGATTTGCCCCGAACCCTCCATTTCCCATTGGATTACATGGGAATGACGATTTTCAAAAATTCATCAAATTTATCATCAATTTTCGACCTATTGTAATTGAGGAAAAAAATTGACAAAATTTGGAGGTATTGGAAATAAAGTCAAGTTACGTTTCCATTAATATTATAAGTTATTTCATCGCCGGTTAAGTAAATAAAAATTCAAACGTAAAGAGGCTTTAACACGTAGTTCAATGGAGAAAAAAGGTTTCCAAACTTATGGAGGGAGTGTAAACCTCAGCCCATGTGGGGACAAATGCTTAAATATTTTCCAAAGTATTATGTGACATTGTATTCTTTGTTAAAAATGATTCATTTTGTTCATAGGGAAATCATAATGGAAAGTGCTATTTGACTACTTTTTGATTTTGACTGTTTGAAGGTTTCAAAGATAAAGGTATGCCAAGGTTAAGAGGAAAAACATCTACAGCGAGCCAAAATATTTGTACATTAAATCCAATAACAATTTTATACATACAAAATATATTATACGTTATATTTACTGATCTACCGAGTGGTCTCAGCTCGTTTTGTCAGTTTTAGCTAGACTTGTCAAAAAACAGTATCATTTACGAAATGATCCCTTTTCTTATCTCGGTAAAAATTGATGTAAAAATAAGAAAACGCATCGATTCTATGTTAAAAAGGTTCACCCCTTCATAACGTTGGTTGTCCGTATTTTAATTTTATAAAGAAGTAATGAATCTATTAGCTAGAGTTCGCACCTCCGTCATATTCCCATCGCATATGATTGATCTAGGCCTTGATCTGAAAAGATCTTCACAACTTTAACGAAAAATGCAGAAAATGCGTTTTTTATACAAAATTAATGACCCCTGCTAAAAAGCAAACACGTGAGGCTAAGGCCATAAAATAGTGGGACGTACTCGTATATAGTTTTGCACTAAGAACAGGAAAGTGTAATATTTAATTTCCATTAAGCCTAATCTTTTATTCACATTCCTTTTTAGTTTTTATTGTTTGTCTTTAAAAAGGTGACGTTTTACAACAAAAAAAAATCTCGTGATTCACAATCGAATTCATTTTACAACTCGGTCAAGCATTTTATAGCTCTCTACTCATTGATTTGACCTTGTCAAACGTGAGAATTTTTTGTGGGGTAAAACGGAACCGTAAAGGTACAATGAAAACTTTAAACCACTTTGACTTATAACATAGTCCATTAGTCCTAGCAAATGTTATTAAAATGTGCCATGTGAAAAAGTTGATTTGAAGTATTTTTTGTTAAAAGAATTGTGGATGTACACTCCCCTCCATGAGCTTGGCAACCTTAGCTCCCCCATTGAGCTACGTGTTTAAGCCTCTTTACGTTTGAATTTTTATTTACTTTTCCTGCGATGAGATTACTTATTGATATTGATGGAAACGTAACTTGACTTTATTTCCAATACCTCCATAATTTTCCCATTTTTTCCTCAATTACAATAGGTCGAAAATTGATGATAAATTTGATGAATTTTTGAAAATCGTCATTCCCATGTAAACCAATGGGAAATGTTCTTTTAATTTTTTGAATACTTTTTGTTACATCAACCAAAATTTCCTTTGTATAACTATAATATTGAGAGGTCTAAAAATATTTTGTATATGCTATTTTGTTCCAACAAGGTTCGGAAAGACATTTCATTTCATTCTCAAGAATTGGTAGAAAGAAACAAAAACAATTGCACTAAAAAACAACAAATGTTAACAAACACAGTTATATAAAATATATATAAATTATTTTCACATTGAATTGTTGACAATCAGTCAACATTATATAAAGGACCGTGTTTTTTATGTAACGGTATATCGAACGGATGAAATAATAAAATGACTTATATGTTGATCTCTTCAATGGATTAGAAAAAATAAAATGAGTTTACATTGTTATTTGATGATCTATAGATCTAAATTTTTGTTTCAAAAATGGCGGGAAATTCAAAATATTTGAAAATTATAAGATGAACAACTTTTTTTTTCATTAAAGGTAATTTGAACAAACGATATTTCAACGATTAAACTTCATTTTCAAACGAGACATTTAATCAAATATTTTCAATGATTTTATAAGAACAAAGGAAATTGATGGCCAATCTTTTTGTAAGTCGAGTGGAAGGGTTGTCTATCTTGTGGATTCCGACGCAGGCAACATCTACAATGGACGGACCAACAAATGTATATTTACTATTCAAATAGGCTATATTGTTTCTCAAAACCTTTATGCAAGCTTATCAAATGGGGGTTTATTAAAATCCGGAGAAAGTATAAATATTACAAATTACTAAATATGGATACATCCACATTCATAATATAATGAGAACGCATTTAAATATATTGTTAATTGCAGCTAAGACGCCTGGCTGCCTGTGGGGGTCACTTTACCATACGGGATATATATCGGCATTTCATTGCACCTATGCATGGGAGTCCCGGGTGGGGTGGGAGGCTGAGCTGGAGACGTACGTTTATAATTTGTGGACGATCTCATTTTTCTTGATTTCTTTCCCCCATTTTGTTTCCCTTCTTTGAAACCTTTTCGTTTTGGTTTACCCGAGTGCTTTCTCACGATGAAAACATCATCCGAATGGGAAAAATAATCCAATAGTGTGTCATTTTGAGCGATATCTGTGATTGTTTCTTTATAAAGCGGGTCGGCAGTTGTGACGGTTGCTCGTGTCCTTATTTTGTAGGGTCTGCTATCTTTCTTTTTTACCTGTCTTTTGTATTGTTTCTCTGATTCTTCATCAAATGGTCTTGGTGAAATAGTACTCGGTCTGTCTATAGGAGGTAGTTTAAGTTTGCTTGAGGTTCGACCACAGGAGTTAGTATCAGTCTTATAAGAATAGCTTCGGTTTGATATCTTCTTGAAATGCACTTTTCCATTTGCCTTCTTTGGCGTTAACATTGTCTTTGTGAATTTCGTCTCGGCGTTCGATTTCGTCGAATCTTCTTTCTGTCTATGAGGTGATATACTTTTGGCCTCTAAGATGAGTTGCTGATGGCCGATTGGATCTGTATACCTCCGTTTGTACTCTGCCTTGACGGCCTTGTATTCGTTATCTTTTGTAAGACACCTTGCTTTCTTGGATAGGTTTCGAGTTACGTCATAGTTGTTCGGGTGTTCCATCGTATCAGGCATGCTCTCCGATTGTATACTTTCACATGTAGTTGAGCTTGAGACTTGAGTAATGTTGGACAGCTTTAGTGTGTCAGTTCTTTTCTTTGATGGCATAGGAGATACGGGTCTGTTGTTGGTGTTATCAGGGCAGTCATAAGAAATAACATCGAGAAAATTACGATCGTGTGTTTCCGATTCTGGAAATATCTCAAACGCTGAGCTATTATGGGAGTCTAAAACATCAGTTTCATAACGTTCGTGTTTGACAATGTCTTCTTCATTTACATGCTTGGGTTCCGGTGATCCTCTAGGTGTAATAAATATAACATCTAATGCGTTTATGTTTCTCAAAGATTCATTCCCCGTTGCCTTAGTTTTGGAAGTTTTTCCTTTTGTTGCCTCTGAACCGTCGGTTTCTATGTCATCATTATCATAAGCCTGCTCTATATCTATAACAGGCAGTTGGATTGGTTCTGAATATTTTAACATTGGTTTGTCCTTAACGCATTTTTTGTGGAGAGCCGTAACAGGCTGGGCAGACACGATATGTTTCGAATATGCATCTAATGACTTTGATATATCTCTTTCATTCTTTCGTCGGATCTTTCCTTCTTTGAAATTGCCTCCTGTTGGTAGCCCAACGGCACTGGTTCCTTGTTTATCATATAGATACACGTTTTTGAAACGAGGAGTTAGGGAATCAAGCGGAATCGATTTCTGACCTCCTGTATGAATTCTCATCTTATTGGAGCGAATTTCCAAGTGATTACTCCCATCACCTCTCTGCCACGTACCAACAGCGCAGTTATTTTTATCGCCCATCGAGCGTCTTGTTTCCGTAAGAAGACGACGCCATCTTGGGGAACCAACTATTGAAGGCTTCAATGTTACGTTTACACGTTCTACTTCATCATAAGAGATACCATGCTCCTCTTGTATGTGCCTCTTACACAACTTTGTAACCCAGTCGCTAAAGGATCCAATATTTTGGTTTGGTTCTTTCATTCTTACTTCGGCATCTAATATTTGAGGCAATTTCGACTTCAAATCTCATATTTTATGTCCTTGAATTCTCTCTAAATGTTGTCATAATCATCAATCGAAACCATTCTATCATTACATTGAGTTGCGTGGAGTTATATCTTTAAACCAGGTCTTGTTACTTATTTGAAATTTGCCCATACGTCTTGTATACGTCTTACACGATGGTCGTGTCTTCTCGATCCACACTTGGTATCCTTATTGATCAATGCACCGATGATTATCTCTCTTTAAGTCTGATTGCAATACCCTATTAATCATCTTCAGTAATTTCAACTTTATTACACTGCAGGCATGCATTGATTTTCAATTTCGGATTCATTAGTACTGAATAGTGGTATCTTCAATTATTTGGATTGGTATCTCTTACCGAGGTAGATTCAAAGAAATCCTTATATACTATCATTTTACTTCGCCGTTTCCGTTGTTCGATCTTAGTGGAAAAGTGTAAACCTCGCGCTTGATATGAAAGGGACATTCTAGAATGTTCGTGCATCAATTAAGTTCCATGAATTTGTCGAAACCAATTGGCGTTATATATATAAGATAATTAACACACAAGCCAACTATTTTTGGTGTTGAGTTCCTAATTTCATCTACGAATATCATTAATATCATACTGTTCTGTGGCTAATATTGTGACTCTGATATTATATGTGTAATTTCCTACGTTTGGTCATTAACACTAAAACGCAGCATGTTCATTGATGTACTTGCTGTCAATCTAAATATTATTGTACGAAGGCACAAGCACATAATTGCCTCTAATATCTAACAATATCGTCAATTATTATACACGTCATCTTTTATTTAAACGGCATTTACGGAGAGTATTCACTATGATATACCTGTGCTTCAAAAATGGTAATTATGCGTACATAATTAGCGTCGAGTCACATCTGTTCAGAGTTAAATCCATTTGCAATTGTCATGCAAGTCATCCCCAACAGCTAAACATCAACAAATGATCGAGACGTAGGTTTTAATGGAGCTCAGCAATATATAACTCGAAGTATAGCGTAGTATAGCATCACATATCACTAAATTGCATAATAAAAGCACAGTTAATTAGTATTGTATATTCACATAATATGTGGAATGTTTTTTCCATAGTTATTCCTTCATTCTTTCTCATGTAAATATAATGCAATTAAGATCATAGATAAAGTTTCCATATACAAAAAATACAACTACAGTTATGTAGTTATGTATGTTGATTTGAATAAGATTGCAAGTATTGTTGATTGATGAAAGAAATATGTGGAATGTGCCATTTGTTGTGATAGCTAATGACAGAGACGATATACATCTGCCGCCGACTCTGCGTTCCATTACATTAGTTTCGTCCATCTGTTGAGTACTAGTCCACGAATTACCTTTACATTGCGGGTGATTATTTCAATTACCCAACTTCATATTGGAAGAAAAATCCATAGTAAGGAAGCAAAATAGAAAACAGAAATATGTTCACCTGTCTATGGGATTGTAACATGGACATGTTAAAACGATATATGTCAAGTGGGTGAGCACCGCACAAGTGCCGAACTTTCTCCCGTATCTGCTGCCATGTTATCTGACTCGAATTACGCACCTGGTGGTGAAACTGGTAACTTCCAACTGGCATCTGGGTTAATAACAACATCATTGCCGTAGTTAAAATATATAGATAACTCAAAAATATAAATAAAACAAAAATATCAGAGGATGTTCAATAAGTTTAATATTCTTGACTGCTTCAAAGAAATTGTTTAGGATTTCAAAATTCTTGAATTGAAAAAAATATTTAGCTGCAGATTTAAAACAATTTACTGACGGAAGTAATTTCTAGAAAGGAAGACGCGTTATCCATTGAAGCCACAATCCCATTGATTCTCCAAACCCGAAGAATTTTCTTGAGCATTGGCTCCGTTGCCAAAAATTCAAGCTTGCCAGGACTCGAACCTGGAATCTTCCGCTCCGTAGGCAGACGCGTTGTCCATTGCGCCACAAGCCCATCATCTGGCACGATTTATTTCACTCGCTACCTTGAACCAAACTGAAGAGTCCGCCTTTTTATTCACGCTCGAAGTTCTGGATGCCTTCTTGTCGAGAACATGCAGCTAAGGCCACCGGGGTACTACATGCCATGTGCACCAAGTACAATTAGCATCTTGCCAAGTACGAAGTATACACATTGCCCAGCATGTGGACCAAGTTACAAGTCACATGCTGCCAAGTCCCATATTCAAAATTTTCGAAGTCTTAATGATAAACCTCGCATGTGCAGCATGTGGACCAAGTTAGCAAGTGACATGCTGCCATGTTACATGTTCAAATAGCATCTTGCCAAGTTTAAACTATACATCTTGCATGTGCAGCATGTGGACCAAGTTAGCAAGTGACATGGTACCATGTTGCATGTTCAAATAGCATCTTGCCAAGTTTAAACTATATATCTCGCATGTGCTGCATGTGGACCAAGTTAGCAAGTGACATGCTGCCATGTTGCATGTTCAAATAGCATCTTGCCAAGTTTAAACTATACATCTCGCATGTGCAGCATGTGGACCAAGTTAGCAAGTGACATGCTACCATGTTGCATGTTCAAATAGCATCTTGCCAAGTTTAAACCATACATCTCGCATGTGCTGCATGTGGACCAAGTTAGCAAGTGACATGCTGCCATGTTGCATGTTCAAATAGCATCTTGCCAAGTTTAAACTGTACATCTCGCATGTGCAGCATGTGGACCAAGTTAGCAAGTGACATGCTACCATGTTGCATGTTGAAATAGCATATTGCCAAGTTTAAACTATACAACTCGCATGTGCAGCATGTGGACCAAGTTGCCAAGTGACATGGTACCATGTTGCATGTACAGATATCATCTTGCCAAGTTTAAACTATACATCTCGTCTCGCATGTGCAGCATGTGGACCAAGTTAGCAAGTGACATGCTACCATGTTGCATGTTGAAATAGCATCTTGCCAAGTTTAAACTATACAACTCGCATGTGCAGCATGTGGACCAAGTTGCCAAGTGACATGGTACCATGTTGCATGTACAAATAGCATCTTGCCAAGTTTAAACTATACAGCTCGCATGTGCAGCATGTGGACCAAGTTGCCAAGTGACATGGTACCATGTTGCATGTACAGATAGCATCTTGCCACGTTTAAACCATACGACTCACATGTGCAGCATGTGGACCAAGTTGCCAAGTGGCATGCGGCCATGTTGCATGTTCGAATAGCATCTTGCCAAGTTTCAACTATACATCTCTCATGTGCAGCATGTGGATCAAGTTCCAAAATGACACGTTTGTTTATTTGGAATGGGAAATTAAATGATAAAATATATTTTTAAACTAAAAAGCTTGTTTAATGAACGGTAAAACGAATGAAACGAACACAAATTTGGAAAATGTAATTTAAAAAATGGTAAATTGGTATATAAGTTTGAGCTTTGTAGTAAGCATATGAAGAAATCATCCTCTACAATATTCTTGGTTAGCTGACCACTAACTCCCGGGCACTGACTACATTTGTATTCTGCCACTCTCAGGCCAGTAGTCAGCTTTTACCAGGGAGGGAAGCAGGGGGGAGGGCTGTTTTTAAAGAATTCCATGAGGGATTTGACTTTTCCTTTGCATTATATCTTAGAATTCACACATGTAAAATGTTTCAATATGATGATAATAAGACGATTACTAGTAGATTAGTAGATTACTAAATTTATGTTCTCATAAAAACAAAAGTAGATTGCAGAGAATAATTTATTATGTAGAGATGATTTTATTATGGAATAATTGTGAAGTAATAAACTTGTTAATGTTACAAAGCTATGAACAGCATATTACTGTATCATATACAATTATTCTAACACAATTCTAAACACATGTGAACATTATAGTATCCTTGTATTAATGTTCCAATCTGAGTGTCAGTTAGTTCACTAAGTAGGCTCCCTGGTCAGAAACATCTTGAATTCTTGAATAAGTAGAAATAAGAATATAACTGTATTTATGTGAAAATCTGTATATCTGCAAATATAGAACATTTACCATTGCCCATGAGTTTTCTGCTCTGTAGAAAGACCATAAATGCACATCTTTATGAATTTATATAATCAATAGCACTTTAAGTCCCCATATAAGGTCTAAATCACTTTGACTTATACTGTAGTCTTACTCAGTGTTATATGGAAGAATGTGAAACTTTTTTTAATTGCTAATTATGAATTTATATAAAACTAACTTTTATAACTAACTTTTAGAGATCACATATATATTCTAATAAGCGATAATTCAAACCAATGCATAGCATTCATCCTCACATGATTTTGGTGAAAAATTAAGAAAATTGGTTCAAAAATAGGCGAGATATGAACTCATCAATGATTTAAAATGGTTCAGAGAAAAATGTATTTCAAAATTTCTTAGTTGTCATAGAAACCAATGGTACATAATATTTCAAACATATATACTTCCTTTTAATCTCAGGTTAGACAATCAACATTGGTTTATATTTGAAGTTTTGCATATTTAGAAAAGATTAACATTGGAAAAAATGATGTCACTGCCGACCATACGTTTTTATGTAAATCTACCGTAAAATATTTTGTTTTTCCGTAAATGCAACAAAACACCCATACCATTTAAACCCGTAAAACTACTGTTATCTCCTGTACCGTAGTTTTACTAAAATCTATGGTAATTTTTTAAAATCCATTTTTTCTGTGAAAATGGCCGTAAAAACCTCCCGTATTTTTGACTGAAATCTCCCTTAATCTACCGTGTTTGAGCTAAATCTAGTCAGTAACCTTGATTATTGGACTTCTTTCTTTTACTTTCAGTTTTACAGCAAGGAAATGTATATTTTCTGTAAAAACTGAGCGAGCAAAGGAACCCTCATAATACTTGTTCAGGGCCAACTTACATCATGGGCTTTTAATAATCAGCCTGATTACTCATTAATTTTTGTCA